GATGCTGTTTCCTCCGACTCGGTTTCCTCCGACTCTGTTTCCTCCCCGGTGAAGAGCAGCGTCCTCGGGGCCGTACAGCAGTGCAGGGGGTTGTAACTGTGTCAGTATGGATGTGCTGTGCAACGTCACATGCAGGATTTCCTGTCTGTGCTGCTGAACGTGTGAAACGTGTGAACTGAGTTGTTGGATCTCACCTGTCCTCCTGTCCTGCAGGTGGCGGTACAGGCAGCCAGCAGACCATTCTCCATGAGGAGCGGTGGAAGATGCCGGCTCTGCCAGCACTGCTGCTGTCGATTTACACCGTCGCCTCGCTGCTGACCATGGCGCCGCTCTCCTTCAGCCAGGCCAACACCCTCTCTGCCGTCCGCATGGGTGAGTGACGTCACGCGTGTTTGAATCCCACTTGCTCCGTCTTATTTCATCCATAATGTATCTCAGCATCTTCACACACATGAGTATGTGCTGTACGTGTCTGTGCCATGTTGCTACTGTCACTACTGTCTGTCCTGTTAAGCACAGAGAAAAGAAGTTCCTTGCATGTGCACTTCCATACGTGCTCAGCACAGCTGATTCTGATCCAGCTCAAAGCTGCTCTAACAGGACCGTCAGGCTCTGCTTCAACGTGCTGACAGGTGAAAGCTCAGGTTCCTCTCTGCTGTCCACCAAACAGGAGCTTTCATCCAAACACTAAAAGTTTTTGCGCTGTCGAGTCGAGCGGGACGTGCAGGGGATTGGCTCTTAGTTAAAGTGAGCTCGCTGCACCTTCACTGTTCAGCCTGGTTCATTTACAGAGCTCCACCCACTCCACACCATCAACGCTGGGTTTCATGGCGGTCGGTCACATTTCAGTTATGAAAACAAGATCGTGAACTTTCGCTGCAGTCACTTCTTCTTCTTCTGGATGTGATGTGCACCTTTCTTCTGCAGGCTCACGCTCACTGATCTCGAGCCACAAACAGAGCGAGATGTAAACGCTGCGATGGGTTTAACCTCGTATTTCAGTGACTCGGTCATTTTTGCATATCTAAGAAGCTGTAAATGAGAAACACTGCAGCTGCAGGGAGCCGGCGTGTGACGCGCCGGCATAGATGACAGAAATGACGCAGCGGTATTTTCTGTGGGAACGAAACTCGAACACGTGCATTGTGTTCGTTCTTTCCACAGAACGCGGTGAAGGATGAGCAGCGTCTCCGCCGTGTGAGCGCTCCTCCACTCTCGTTTCTCCTCTCGCCTCCCACCGCCGTCTGTTTGCCATCTTGATTCCTCTCCCACGATCTCTTTGCTGTGTTTGTCTTGTTACGAGCCCCTCGAGGCCGCCCTTTGTTCCCACTCGCTCTGCGCGTCTCCTCGTTGCCGTCCTGGGTTTCTTCATTTGTAAGGGAGAACTAAACCGAGAGGAAAATGGATCGGGGAGCATCTCCGTGATCCACGGCGAGGCCCGGGCACCGCTCTGCTGTCAGCACCCCTCGCTGCTTGTCCCGCGGAGGAAGATCGACTCGAGTAACAGCAGAGACTTAACGCTGCAAGTACGAGTTCAGCTGATAAGGTTTTTCTCCCTGCTCATCTCTCGCCCTCGAGTTCAAATCCCTGCTCCTTTTTTATCTCGCGGGGCTTCAACAAAACCAGCAGACGCTTAAACCGAGGCTACCATGGCAACCAAAGGTTCACCTTTCACTGTCTCACTGTTAATACCAGCTGACTGATGCGCACACACACTTATATCTGACACATACAAAAGGAAGCTCTCGTTTCCTTCTGGCCTGGAGTTCAGTAAAAGCAGCAAAAGCCTTGACCTTTGACCT